GCTCCATCAGGAATAATAATAATAATCACAAAGACCAAACCCAGAGATCTGAAGGCTTTGTCTTGTGAAAATGGCTTGCATATTCCAGTGATGTTCACTTTAACAGTTGTTTTTATTGACCTGCTGGCTTCTGTTTATGCAAACAGAGTTGCAGGATGTGGATCTGATCCAAGGCTGACTCCAAAGGAGGGATTTTGATTGCAGAGGAGGAAGATGTACCTACCCAAGAGGTGTTGAATGCAGCATGTCTTCCAAGGGCATTTCAACAACTCTGCAGCTGCATTACTAAGCACAGTAAACTAAAACAGTTCCAGGTTACTCAGAAGCCTATGGACAAACATGTGGGTTTCCCACATAATTTTCATAAACCAGTTTCAAAGGTAATTGAAAAAGGCTAAAATAAAAGGCTGTCCATTTGCCCATGAAGGCTGGAAAGCAGCATAAATTACTCACTCCTCTGTTCTGCATCTGCAGGCATTTAGATCGTAACATAAACAGTACTGTGTACTACAGATGCACTTCACCTTTCTCTGTCAGATGGAATATGTGGACAGAATGGGGAAAGACAACAAGAGAGGAAAATAATGTGTTGCCATCATTACATATGCAGCAAACAGTGGTTAATCTGGATTAAAGAAGCAAAAAGCAAGTACTCCCTGATCCACAATTGCTTCTCTAGGATCTTCCTAAGGACACCACAGAAACTGGAAGGTTTTTAATGAAGAGCTGTGTCCTTGCAGCACAACCTAGCTCAGAACTGCCCCCACCTGTGGGGGCTGCACAGAAAGGTGTGTGCTACATACCAAAGCAAGCACATGCAGAAAAGCTTCTGCTGCATAGATTACCATGCTGTGGCCAGTCAGCCAAACACCTCCTCTCCAAATGCCTCAGCCTGGATGCACCTGACACAGCCCCACACTCAACGGCTGCTCCCCTTGAGTACACGACTTCCCCGTGGGCAGCGCAAACCTGACCCAACTGGTAAGACCATCATCATCCCCCTTTGCTGACACTAGAGTTTTAGGCTGCAGTGCTGCCTCGGCCACAGCTGAACCACGTGGAGGGCTCCTGCTCTCAGCCCCACTGCTGGCTTCCCACCCCAGGGTCCAGGGGGGTGCTCCCCTCCCTGCAGGGTGTCCCTGCCCTTCTCCCACCTGCCAAGGTAAGGGCGCACGGGCTTGCGCACTGCAGCAGTTCACGTTAAACACTTCCCCAGCAGGGTTTTAAGATCCCTTGAATGCACCTTAAGCAAAACAGACTGGGTAGCACCTAGGTACACTGCTACCCCCTATGTTTCTGGGAGCAATGCAACTGGTGGTGAGGGGTGAGAAGCCATGCTGAGAGTTGCCTCTTAAACCAGCTGGTGGGCACCCAGCCCTGCGGTGTGCCTGGTGGCAGCTCCCCGGGTGCAGCGGGACCTGCGCCAGGCTGCCCGGAGGGCCCAGGTCCTGGCTGAGGAGAAGGAAGGGTGTTCGGCTCCACTGAAGTGCAAGAAGACAAGGCAGGGTAAGATGTTACAGAAGCATATGTGCTTGTTTACAGAAAAAGAGTTTCTTGTGTGCCTCATTCCTCCTCTTGCTAATATAAACCAGGAGAATAAAGTCAAATGTAATTGCTATACAAGCACAGCGCTCTCTCTTTAGTACAGTCTTTAATAATGTATAAACGATTTCCAAAAGATGTAAAGGAGAGCTTAGTGCAACTTGAATGCAGATGAATATTTAAAAAGAAATTAACATTATTCACTAAGCACTTTACTCAATTGGTTTCATTTATATATGTACGTTCATGCCCAGACAGCAAGTCCAGTTAATGGTTTCTACAATAGGAAAAAAAACAGCAAATCAACTTACTATACTGTTAAGGATTTCTAAAAAAAACAACAAACAAACAAAAAAACCATCCAAAGCAATTTTTCAGGGACGCAATGAAAGAGGGAAGACAGACAAGTATACCTATGGTATTAATGGTGGTAAGACAAGGAAGGAGAAAATGGGCAATTACCCATAAATACTGCTCTTAACTTTAGTTATGTAACAGAACAAATAATCAGAACAATAACCACCACTTAAAAGTCAATAAAAGCATCATGTATTTATAAAGGTCTTGCTAGATAAACTCACTTTTCAGATGTCTCCTCCATTATCCTTCTCCTGTCATGACACGGGGAGACTGCTGCAGCATCCCACTATGTAGATAAAGCCAAAAAGGACGTTTGGATGCAGCCGTAACCAGACGAAACAGCAGTGGCATTAAGAAGCAAATTCAAGTCTAATCAAAAACTTGTAAGCAATTCGGAGAAACTGATCGTGGAAGAAAGAAGGTTTTATTGCAACCACAGTAAGCGAGTGTTTGCACCGTCAGGGTAACAAAAGAAAATTAGTGCACTGCTGGCTTTCAACGCTGTATCTGTAAGTATTAAATTATGGGCTAGGAAAGCAACAAGTTGGTTTATGAAGCTGAGAAACAACGGCATTTATATATATCTCATTACCAGAAACATTTCAGACAAATGGAGCTTATTTTGAGGGGACTACGGAGGAGAAAAATCAGGATCAAAACTTCCAAGATTGTGCACTCTCAAGGAGCACAGAAATTGAAAAATATATCTCACCAACCCTGTGAGTAGCAGCAGCAATGAAGCTCAGCATCCTATGGAGCACCCACACAAATTTTCACATGCCTGATAAACTGAATGCTTGCTACAGCTCTTCCCTCAGTGGGGGCATCAACCCCATCTCTCATCTCCCTGGTCACCAGCAGTTTTTGAGGTTTCTAAATATTTTATCACACTGAAATCTCTACTCTTCTACTTATATTGGTTGAAATTAATCCACGGGGGTAAAAAAATTACTCTGGGGCAATGAGGGGAGCTATCAGTCAAGATGGCATTATTAGTTTAGCTGAAGCTGGAAAATCATGTTGGAAATCATGTTGAAAAGAATACAGTCAGGACAGAGGGGAAGGAATAACAAACAAAAATCTCTAATGGGAAAAACTTCTAAAACCGTAATTATTAAATCAAGTACAGAAGACATTCTTTCATGTGAGGAAAACCATATTTTGGAGTTTTTCACAAACAGATCACCATTCCTAACTTTCTAGGATTTCTGCCTGCAGTGAAAATCTGGATGATCCCCCTGTAAAAATGTAAATGCCAGAATCTTAATCCATTCTAACACAGATGTTTGACTGTCCAAATACTTCTAGCAGACAAGATCGTTTGGATTTACTTTTGTAATTCTTCCCGTTCCGCACTAGTGGGTCTGAGTGGCCAGTCTGGATGCCAAAGATTGGAATAAATCAAGCCATCGATCCAAAATCCTGCACCTGCACTGTTTCACTGCTCGCAAGACTATTTGGGAGAACAAGGAGCACACTGGGGAGACGTTGCAGTGAGCAGAGGCACTTTGGCCATTAAGATATGGAGAGAGAACAGAAATTTCCCTTACTTTTTCCCCAAAGCCATGCCCAGAGAACTGAGCAAGGTCCTGGAGCAACTTCACCAGAAAGAGAAATCAATGAAGTCCAACAGAAAGCCTGGCAGGACTTCGGGGAACATAAAACCTCCCACAACAGTGATCTTCAGCTGATGGAGAAAACTACACGTATAATTCCTCACGGATTTTCATCCCAGGTTTTAGAAATCAAAGGAAGTAGGTACATTCTGAATAATTCATTTAGAACACTCATTATACTAACAGAAAATATTATTTGAACAGCATAGATCAATAAATGGACACAAGGGAACAATTTTGCACTTCAGACAGATAAACAACACGACCTGACTGAGTTTCTCTCTCTGCATTTCATGATTTGCATCAATATTTTAAAAATTTGTCATGATTTTGAAGCTTGTGTATATTTTTATAGCATACTGATGTGTTATGCTGTTTTGCTTCAATTTGTTACTGTCATTGACACGTCTAAGACAAAATAAAGTAGGCTGGTCTCTATTCCAACAGATTGCATTTCAAAACCAATCTATAGAACTAAACTGTAGTTTCACTAGAGTTTCACTCTCATGGTAAAGTGTTTGCTTTTAGAAGCTATTTGGGTATTTCTAGTGAAGCTTCAGTTTATCTTACTTTCATATAAATATTTTTTATCAATCAACCTCAGTGTAACATTTCATAAACATCACAGCACAAACATTCAAGTTCATAGTTTCAAAGGGAATATTAACAATTGAAGAAAAAAAAAAAAACAAAAACAAACAAAAACAAACAAAAACAACCCAGACCATTCTCATCGCCATGACTTCTTCAGGGAGGAAAAGTGAACAAAGTGTCATGGTCTTTCCTTCAGCTGCTTTCAAGGTCTCTGTTCTGATCAAGTATTTCACCCCAGCTGCTTTTTCTACCTACAAAGGTTGATGAAGTTATACTTAGGTAAGTCAACATGCCCTATATATTTTCCTATTTATCGATCCTAACCACAGTGCCCCCAAAACTGGCTAGGAGTTTCTTAGAATGACCAGTCTCATTACTTTTCAAATTCAAATCTTTAAGAATCGGGTGTATCTGTACCAATGAGACACACAGCATGCTGTAGATAATTTTATCTATTGCTTCAGGAATATTTTGAATACTTTTATTCCTCCTTTGCTAAAAGCACTTGCCTGCTCTTCAGAGACCACAAGTAACTTAACAAATGCAGAGGAGCATCATCCATAACTGCATTAAGAAAAAAATTCTCTTGCTGCCAGCATTTTTTTGCGATCAGAAAGAAAAATTCCTGCCCTGTGATGATCAGAGTACAAGGACGCTCCCTGCAATCACGAAAAGATGAAAGTCAACGATGTATTTTAACTAATTTTCTAGGAACATCTTTTGCATGAACAAGCTCCATGTTAGCTGCACACTATCTTGTCCACGCAACTTTAATTATGGACTTTGTGCCCAACGGTTATTTTTCAGAATGTATTTTAATGTAACTGAGCGGTGTCATTCTGTAAATAAAGCTCTGGTATTTTCACTCTCTGCTCTTCATGTTCTTACCGCTGATTAATCTGACCAAACATGATTTCAGAGAGGAGCTGTAGATAAAAATTGCACCTGGAACACTTCTGATTGCTTTTCTGCTGGAGAAAAAGTCATTTTAGTTTTCTTCCTGATGAGAGGCAGCCTATTTATAACACCTAACGTTAACAAACATTAAACCTGGTCGCTCAATCGTACGGAAGCATCTAGGACGGGGAGGCACGGAGAGATTATCCGCGATTTACCCACGGTCACGCAGAACACCCGGGCCACGGTCGGACACTGGACCCCACGTCCCCCGGAGCGCCCTCCGCAGCTCCTTCATCTCTCCCCTCCGCAGCACCGGGGCTGCGCGTCCCCCGCGGTACCTGCCCCCCGGCCCTCGCCCCAGGCGCCCGGGGTGCCGGTCCGAGGGCTGCCCAAACCC